ATCCGTTTTTCTAGGCACAAAGCGAAAAGTTTATATATCGCAGGTAACAGACTTATAGGGCGATAGTTGCTAGCATTCTTTGGGTCACCTTTTTTTGTACAAGAGAATAATTCTTGATTCTGTCCATTTTTTGGGAACACTACGTTTTTCTAAAACTGTATTAAACAGTTTCACGAGAGGCGCAGCTAATAGATGTTTGGCAAGTTTCAAAGCTTCGTTAGGAATACCGTCAGGACCGGGACTTTTATCATTTTTCAGGTTGTCTATGTTTCTTATGATTTCTATTTCGGTAAACTTATCAATACTTGTGGAGTCATAGACCTCCTCTAGTGTTTGCTCAGATTCCAGAGTATCAATAGTCTGCGCTTCATAGAGGTTCTTATAAAATTCTGTTGCGATATTGACATCATCTTTCCTTGTCTGAATTCCGTGTTTATTTGTTTTAAGTTGTGGTATCCAATTTTTATTTTTATTTAATTGTTTATCGGCTTTTTTTAGACTCCCAGTGTTATTAAGATGCTCCTCTAATATTTGTATTCTATGTTGTTGGTAATCTTTTTTTTAATTTTTTGTTTGCAGTTTTGAATAATTGTGATAGCTTTTTTTTTCCTCAGAGTTGATATGTTTTTTATGTTGAAGTTCTGCACGTCTTTTTAACAATGATTTAGTTTCTAAAGTGATGAAACAGTTCCTTTGTAACGGTTCTTGAGATTTCGCGTGATTTATGCAATATTTTATCAAAGATTCGATTTTTTCATAAAAAGACTCTATGTTGTCGTTTTCTCCAAAGTATAGTTCTTTTGACTTTTGTTCAAGGGTGTTTTGGTATTTATTTTGGGCAACTTTTTCTTTTAATATAGAGTTCGTAGAGCTAAAATATTTTCTCGTTTTTTTCTGTTTTCCAAGACTTATAGTACCTCGTACCAGCCTATGATCTGTTGGAAATATATTATTATTTATTACACGCCTATAGCTTAGGTAAATCAACAGAATTGACACTTCACCAGGTAATAATAAAGATTGAAGAGGCCATCCAAAACAAAGCAATATGTCTAGGCTCCTTCATAGACATAGAAGGTGCTTTTGACAGAACAAATTTCTCCAGCATAAAAGGTGCCCTAAGTAGACATAATGTTGAACCGGCACTGATTGACTGGATAGTAAAAATGCTCAGTACACAAACAATAAAGATTGCTGGTGAATCTCAGACAATTCAGATCATGAAAGGATGCCCGCAGGGTGGGGTTCTTTCTCCTCTCCTGTGGAATATGGTCATTAATGAACTCACCAGCACAATAAACAGTAACCATTTCTACACAGTCGCTTATGCAGATGATTTGACAATACTGGTCTCTGGTAAGACAGCAAGCATTGTGTGCGACCTGACCCAAGCGGCTCTCCGTATTGTGGAGAGATAGTGCAGGGAATATGACCTAACCGTTAATCCAAAAAAAAAAACGGTTATAGTAATGTTCACACAAAAACGAATGCTGAATAACCATCATCTTCCATCGTTTCCAAACGATGGGGTTTGACGCCGAAAATTATACTGTGGCTGTACAAAACTGTAATTCGGCCCATGATCACATACGGCTCTCTGGTATGGTGGACTTTAACCAATGAAGCCACCACTATACGAAAGCTTCAGCGTTACAAGAGATTGGCTTGTATGGCTGCCACGGGCTGCATAAGGACTACACCAACAGCAGCTTTGAAGGCTATGCTGGAGCTAACACCGCTTCATCTACATATACAACAAGAAGCAACTTTAGCTGCCATTAGACTCAAGACCTTAAATCTTTTAAGTAAGAGTAGAGTCCCCCATACAGATATAATCGATACAATTTACTCAAAAATTCCTATCTTACAAGCCAAGTATAACAGGATCCCGAAACAATTTGTATTCAATAAGAAGTACAGGATACAATTGAAAGAAACCGACCATCTGGAAGGAAGGATCTAAGAGAGCTCAAAGTTTTCACGGATGGCTCTAAGACAAATGAAGGTGTGGGGTCTGGGGCTTTCTCTGAAGACCTTAATATCCACATATGCACACCGCTGGGTACCCACAACAGTCTTCTAGGCTGAATGCATGGATATCATCCAAGCGGCCATAGCAATAGATGCTAGGAGGGTGAAAGACTTCTCCATCAGAATACTGACCGTAGTAGACATACTGTCTATGGCGGTACTACAAGCTCTGAGTTGCAATGTGACGAACTCGGGACTGTATATACGAGTGCCATCAACGATTGAATGAGGTATGTAAGCACAACAATGTGACTCTGCAATGGATCAAGGGACACAGTGGATCTAGAGGCAACGATGTAGCAGATGAACTGGCCAGAAGGGGATCGGCCCTGGAAACTATAGGGCCGGAACCAATAATACCAATCCCCTTTGGCTATGTTCGTTCACTGTATATAGATACTTCAATAATTTACACGCTCAGCTTTAGAAAAATTTTGTAGACTGTAGACAAGCTAAGGAGGCCCTACCTGAAATAAACAGTCGTCTAACCAAGGTATTAATGAGACTGAACAAGCCACAGATCAGGATAGTAACAACTCTTTTAACAAACATTTGTTCACCATAGGTGTTACTGATAGCCCCCTGTGCAGGGCATGCATGGGAGATCATCCAAAACAGCTTATTCAACACAACATTTAACATGTCTCTTTAAAAATGTTGACTCTTTTGTCTTTAAGTGAAAATTCTGATATCTTTTATTTATGTCAGTACGCTCTAGTATTTAAGTTTTAAGCTTTCTCCTCATATTTATATCTTTAATCTTTCATTCGATCGATGTTGTATGTTACTCACGAACTCTTTTGATAACATAATTAACTTGTTGCCTCTTTAAAAATTTCTTACGAAAAATTATTTTCGGGTTTAGCCATTTTTTAAATTTCGTGCCTCTTTTTGAAATTAACTATATAAACTTATGAAATTTTCATAATTATTTTTAAAGCTTTGACAGCTAGTCTTCACTGGGGCTCTTTATATCCATGGGGCCCTGGGCTGCAGCCCAAAAAGCTTATATATAGATACGGCCCTGCGGACATAATAAAGCTGCAGCATGACTCTACAAAGTTAATCCACATTTGTTCATACTGCTATCCAAGGACTTTTACTTTAGTCCAGCTTTGTGCTCATTGCTAAATTTATTTTTGAATACTACTAATACTTACTTTTATGTATTAAACAAGGATAGTAGTTCTTGCGTCCTTGTTTAATCCATTAAGCCTATAGCCATAAATTGTCTGAGCTGGTTATAGAAACAATGCATTAATTAGTAAAAGACTGAAGGTTATTTTAATTGAAAAATAACGTGCACATTAAATCTACCACAAGAAGTATTCTTAATGCAATCTGTTTTGATGAACTTGAATTGTACTCTATATGTGGTAGAGCCATGCGGCAGTTATATTAGTAGTATAGTTGTAGCACAAAGAGGTCGGCTCGACCGTGGAAAGACCAGGCTCTCCCAGAATACTAGTAATAGTAAAATAGTACTTTAATGCTGCTGTGTTTCGTATGGTGAGTGTAGAGAACCGGAGATCCTTTTTACTAGAAACGAGGCTTTCCATTAGTCCTCATGGGTGACAACGCATCTGCATTTTGATTTGTAATTGAGGATAGATGTAGATGTCTATGGGCCACAGCAGGCATTTACCATCAGGTGGACTGTGTGCTCGTTTGTCACCCTATCCTATAAAAAAATTTAAATTCTTAAAAGTCTAACTTTATTTTATTCACTTGAAAGATAAAAAAATTACATTACTAGGTGTTAGGACTTCTCTCTAACATATTTTAGTAACTAAGCATCAATGTGTGGGGTAGCTCTGAAGGGTACAGAGGGGCAGTACAATTACAGGCTGTGTGGCATTCCACTTCAGTCCTAAATGGTGACAACTAAACTATAGCTATTCTTATTTGAATTAGGTAGCCGGTGCAATTGTTCATAGATTGCGGTAGCATCTGATGAACTGTAAGTTAATTTGTCACATCAATTTTATAAAAAGTAAATTTCAACTTGGCTGAGCAGCTTCCAGCATATTACTACACATCTCGTTGACCACAAGATTGTATAAGCTATAATATATGATGTTGCCAGTGACGACTTATAGATCTGAGACATGGTCCTTTACTACTGGCTGTATAAAGAAGCTCAAGATTGCTCAGCGAGCCATGGAGATGGCTATGCTCGGTGTTTCTCTGTGTGGTAAACTTAAAAATTAGAATATTCTTACTAAGACCAGAAAAACTGACATTACCTCAATGAATTAGTAGTTTGAAGGGGAAATGGGTCAACCATTTAGCTCGAAGAACCAACAAGTGATGAGGAAGATAGGTTCTTGAGTGGCAGCCTCATACCGGTAGACAAAGTGTAGGGCGACCCCCACTTGATGGAGTAACAATCTAGTAAAGCAAGCAGGAAGTAGATTGATGCTGGTTTCTGAGGACCGTGCTTTGTGGCATTCCTTGGGGAGGACTAAATTCAAAAGTAGACTTGTGAAGGGCTGTAATGATGATAATGATGATGATCATGATTTTGAAACATACTGATGGTGAAAAGTTTCTTTTTATAGGATAAAGGTCACAAACAAGCACACAGTCAACCTAATGTTAAGTAGTTGCTGTGGCCCATAGACATCTACATCTATCCTCGACTTCAAATCAAAATGCAGATGCATTGTCGTCCGTGACGAAAATCTCATTTCCAGTAAAAGGGGTCTCCAGTTCCATACACTAACCAGCAGTGTTGAGCTGCCATTTTATGCTGGTATCCCGTGAGAATGTGGTCCTTCCCCAGTCGAGCCTACCCATTTGTGCTACAACTATACTACAGCTGCTGCATGAATTTATTGATTATAATGCAAAATATTTCAAATTTCAGCTCGCCATGCTACTTAGGTACAACTATGAAGGACACACAGAGAGAATTTATTATAGCACTTAGGAAATTAAAACAGAATTAATTTTAAGATTTATATTACCATCTTCACTGCCTAGTAGATACTCTTTCTTTCTAAAATACTCTTCATGGGACTTATGGATTTTTTGGTAGGTTACGTTACGGTTACCCTGTTTTCGAGTGTGGGTTGTAGTCCATTGCACTTTACAGAAACCTTTTATTTTAACATATAAACCTGAAGTTATAAAAAAAATTGTTTAAATTTGAATTAAATTTATTTTAAAATAATGAAAAACATATGGATATTTACGCTTTTTTATTATACATTTCTTTTGAAATCATTAAAATCAATGTAGAAGCATTAAAAAATGAAATTGTCTTACCTCGAAAAGTTTTGACCTTGTCTTGTTGGAATACCAATTTGCCGTAAATAGTTTGACCGACATAATATGTTTCATTTTCACTATTTAAAATTATGCTGCCTTCATCAAACCCCATTATGTGTTATATTTATTTCTGTGTTTACTGTACGATATATTACTTTCCTCTTGGTGACTTGGTTTACTTCTTTACAACCTATACCTTCTTAAAGAAGGTAAAAGGGCTTCTTTATACCTACTAGAGTATAGTTTTAAGTTTTAACCAGTTTTAACCATAGATAAATAAATATGTAGCAAGGTCTATAACATAATAGGCATGTCGATCTAAAATTGATTAATCGAAAAATCGATTCTTTGGAGTAAAATTATCGATTTTTTAGATCGATTCGAATCACCGCATCGATTCACTGAATCGATCCAAAAACCTCTTGAATCGGACTGATTCATTTGATTCAAGAACTAGCTAAAATTCCCAAACTGGCTGGGGTAAGATGCCACAGTTTTTTAATTTTTTGCTGTTGGGGGACGCAAAAACAACCGATCGTACTTGGTTGATAATTTGAACGCAATGTATATACAATATGTAACGTAATTAACGTACACCCTCAGACACCCCAATTAGTATATTATGTTATAATCATAATACATACACTGAATTGTTAGTTAAATATTTTTATGCACTGATTATTTATTAAATTAGTTATACTAATTCCGCAAGACCACAAATTGCTCGTATACAGCGTTTTTGCGCTATAAAAACACGGTTTACGTCAGTCGAGTTTCTCCATAATATGAGACCATATCTTAATACAGCAGCGACATACGCGTGATATGGTGTAAGAGAAGTGTTTCTTGACGAGATTGAAGTTAGCCTTCGCAGAGCAAAATTAAATTTAAATATTTTAAAACAAACTTTATCTATGTGATTTTTCCAATTACAATGTTTGTCTAACAACCTAAAAATGTAGTACATTCAGTAACAGTAATTTTTTCACCATTATACTTAATATCAAGTAATTTCGGTTTACTTTTAACTTTGTAGAATTGCATACATTTATTTTTAGATAGATTTATACTTAGATTATTGTTTTTTATCCATTTAACAACATTTATAATAGTATTATTTATTTCATTTTCATATTCTTTATTAATAGAATTAAATTTATTTTCGGTATTAAAATAGAAATGTCGTCGGTAAATAATATTGTATTATGTTTGATGTAATTTGGTAGGTCATTTATGTAAATTAAAAACAGTAAAGGACCTAAAACACTCCCCTGTGGCACGCCGTAATCATTTGGTAAGGTACGAAGATTTATATTTTAAAATGTCTTGCCGTTTTTTATCTTTTTGTTGTATTTCAACAAACTGTTTTCTATCTTTTAAATAGCTTTGTATCCAGGAGTAAGCTGGCCCTCTTATACCATAAGCTTCAATTTTTTTTAAGAGAATATCATGACCAACACTATCAAATGCTTTGCTCATATCAAAGTACACTGCAGAAATTGGTATTTTTCTGTTTATATAATCGGTTACGATTTTCATATGGGAACAAGTTGCCAGTGTCGTATATTTACCCTTTTGAAAACCATATTTCTCTGGTTTTAATATGTTAAACTTATTAAAAAAGTCTAAAAATCTTTTTTGCATAACTTTCTCATACAATTTTGATAATATTGATATTAATGTAATTAATCTATAGTTATTAATATTATTTTTCTGTCACCTTTTTTACGCAATGGTATAACAACGGATAATTTCAATTCTTTAGGAAACATTCCCGCTTCAAGCGACTTATTAATGAGAAAACATAATACGTCTATGATTTTTCCTGGACACCTCTTTAAAACTTTTGTTTGTATTTCATCACAACCAGTTGATTTTGTGTTTTTAAGTGATGAAATATGGTTCTTAATTTCCGTTATATCACATGGCCATAAAAAATACTAGATTGATTTCTTTAACTAGTTACGCTTAATTTATCCGCGCTATTATGTTATATTATGTCTTTAATAGAATAGATGAAATGCTGATTAAATGTTGTAGCTAACGTTGTAGTTACGTTAGTATTCTTATTAGTTTGTGGTTGTAGTTGTAGTAACGTTGTTTTTTATTTATTTAACTGGCATTACGGCTCCGGGTTCTAGCCCTTCTGAGCCTATCATTTCTTTCAGAATCATCATTTTATATATTTTTTCATTCACAACACTGATGCGTAATTGTGAAGTTTTTTGGAGATTTTGACGACAGCTCAAACCAGCGGACTGTTGATGACGACAGCCACTCAAGTTCATAAGGCGCCCAAGCGATCAAATTAATTTAAGATTTATATCAACATCAAAGCACTTGTTTTGTCGTTTTCTCTAATAGTTCACACGCGCAGACACTTAATTCACAAAATCACATCACTTTTACGAATTGAAATCCACTTAAAACCATTATTCAAACGACAAAATAGGAGTGACAGTCCGTCGACGGGCAAGTTCCCGCCAAAACTCCCTACGCTTTAGTAATAATAATACAATCACAGACTAACTACCTAGTGGATTCTACCGAAATCATGGAGGCTAGAGAACAGGAGAACGTTCGCTACGTACTATAAAGCATAGCCCGCCTGTCTGACAGCAGTGCGGCTATAAATTTGGAAATTTATAGCCGCACTGCTGTCGGTAATTAGGGTCTGCGAAGTAATTTTTTAATTTTTGACAAAAAGGAACATTACAAAATGGTGAAATGTTATTTAATAAAATCAATAGTAATTATTAATTTATATTTGTAATAATTTATAACAATTAAATTTATAAAAACAATTTATAATTTATTTATAAAAATAATAATAATAAATAAAAATAATAATAATTTCCCCCTTTTTTAACGATATTATAATCATATCAAACAACAGCCCGCTTTTATTGAGACAGCTTATCGATCGCAGCGCCTCACTTATTTTGTCCATATTTCTGGGACACTATTTTCTACAGCGATCGTTCTCCTGTTGTCTAACCTCCATTACCGAAATATAACCAAATATAACAGACTATACAAGCGTATAAATTCACAAAATAAAAATAAGAAAATGACAAATGCACTGACCTCTATATATACAAGTACGCTATATGTAGAGGTCAGTGGACAAACGGCAATCCGAAATCCGACATTGGGATATTCACTTAACATCGATATATCGAATTTGTTCGATGTTTTCCGCACCTTATAACGGATCGATTCGATGTTTTGACCAAAGATATTATAATATATTATATTATATTATAATATACTGCGTATAGGGTTTGACAAAATATTTATTGTATTTGATATATCGATATATTTACATATTTATAGAAACATCCGAACATTTGCTTTTTTTTGTCGAATCTATTAAAAAACTAAAGAGTTTTAACGCTACTTGATGACCTTATAGTCTACCAAATCTAAGAAATACCTTTTGACGTTTTTAATTAATCATTCCGCAATAACTTTGCACAAGCGTACATACACGATTTAAAATAGCCTTTTACATAAATCCGAAGAATTATGAAGTTATCTATATTTTATTACAACGTGTATAGTTTTTTATCACTAATATAAATTCGAACCTTTCAAACAAAGCAAAATATTAAAAAAAATAACCAGTATCAATTTTTTTACTTGACATCGTTCCAATGATATGTCTCTATGTAGCTTATCGTAGTGTTTGGATGGTTAAAATTCATTGTTATGCGAATAATCGGTATAAATAATTAGATAATCGGTAAAAATGTTCAAATAAACGAGTCATTAATTTTTTAGATGTATTATTTGTCAATTAAATTTTTACCAACTCATCATGAATAAAACAAGTTTATTTTTTTATTTTGTCAACGTTAATTTGTGCAGGCAAAACACTTAGGTATTTAATTTCAATCTCCCGCCATTTTGGGAGCTTACTGTGCGTAATTTTGTGTTTGTCTTCTTATTTTGTGACTTGGTTTTAATTTTTTGGTCCGTTTCTTCTATATTCGTTTAAGTATGTGCCCATGTCACAAAGGATGATTGTGCAAAAGTGGTAGAAAAACAAAAAAAAAACTTTAAAAGAAACATTAATTTTGACTGCATTTTTGAAAATCAAATATTAATTAATCTAAACAACGATAGATCAACTAGTTGTACTGAAAGTGATTGAATAAATTTATTTTTAATATAGTTTCAATCTTAAATTTTTATAACTTTTATAAATAAGCAGTAACAACAAATACGAAGAAACTGATAAATCTTGTGTTTTAAATTATCCGTTTTTTAATTTATTCTGGTATTATTCAAACCAAACTGTAAATTATTACGAACTCTAAATAATCGACATCGATTTTTTAACAATCGAATATTGTACGTTCCAGTTTTTTTGGTTGGCATGCTTGGTGCAATTAGTCTGACAGCTGTCAAAATGTAATTCTTAGGTTTGGTTGACTATAATTTTAAATAAGGTTCATTAAGATAGTGACATCTGTGAGCTAATTACTAAACATAGGATGTTATGCATTTGCATATTTGCATATGCAAATGCATATAACTCTATAATTACGGCGTTAATGCATAATTTAGCCTTTTTTCCCAATCGTGCATATTTCGTTTAGTAGCGGGAGGTACGTATAGGGACCTAGGTGACGAAGACGTGTAGTACGCAAGCGCATTGGCGTATATAAAAGCGTGGCATATGGCGCCAAATATAAAAATAAAAATGGTTTTTGATTTTGCATTATGCATATTTTTGGCATATCAACAGTTTTAAGTGCATATTTGGGTCTTTTTTAGTGCATATTTGCATGCATATTTTGATACTGTATTTTTGTAGAGTAAGGAGGACAAACTCCCATAGGCGAATAGTTGAAAATGTGTCCATTCATAAGCAAGAAATAACAGTTCAAAAACTCTCCACAACAGCGCTCGAGTAGCTACACCGAACTCGTTTACTCCTTTCCGAGTAAGCATTTATAGTTGATCTATCCTCAACCCCGCTTACGTCTAAAGCCGCCTGTGGAAAGACTACGAACTTACGACACTTAGTTTCCTCTATCGGATCCGAATATGACTGCTGCTTCTGTATCTTCTCGGAACGCAAGATGTTAGGACTGCAATCGTCAG